TTTTTTTTTTTTTTTTGGTTTTCGGTTCAGTTTGGTCTTGTTTTTTAATAATCATTAGCACTATATTATTTAATTGTGATATTATTTATAGTGAAAATTATTTTATCTTTATTTATTTGTTTATTTGTGGTGCTGGGGATTGAACCCAGAGCCTCACACGCGCTAGGCAAGCACTGTATCACTGAGCTACATGCCCAGCCAGGTTTTGGTCTTCTGAGACAGGGTCTCACTGTCGCCCAGGCCGGCCTCAAACTCAGGACAATCCCCCTGCCTCAGCCTCCCAAGTGCTGAGATTACGGGAGTGTGCCACCACAGGGGGCCCATTTTAACTTCCTTCTCTTCCGTCTTCTCCTCCTCCTCCTTCTCCTCTTCCTCTTTCCTCTTTTTCTTTCTTCTCCCTTTCTTCCCTCTCCTCCCCCTCCTCCCCACTTCATCCTCCTCTTCCCTTTCTCCTTCTTCCCCCATCCTCTGCCTCCTCCCCCTTCTCTCTTTGTCCTCCTTTTTTCTTCTTCCACACTATTCAGGACTGCACCCAGGACCTTTACAGTGAGCTGCACCCTGGCCCTTTAGTTTTTTAATTTGAGACAGGGCCCCACTAAGTCACTAAAACTCACAGTTCTGCTGGCCCAGCCTCCCGAGTGCCGGGAGAGCAAGTGTTTCACCGTGCTGGGCTCCAGCGTCCTTAAAGCAAAGGTGGCAATGTCTGCGTGCACCCTGCTGGCCTTACCTCCGCATGCGTGTGTCCTGTGGCTCCATCCACGGCAGCCCAGAGCCCAGCCGCTCCCTCTGGTGTGCATCTGTGTCACGTCTCCTGTGTGGATGTGCTGCTGGGGACAGCCAGGCTGTAACTTCTAACCTTCTGCAACGTGTTAGAGAGTAAATATCTTCAGCCTTGCAAGCCACACGGTGTCTGTCACAGTCACCTTTGCCACTGCAGTGTGAAAGCATAAGACCACATCTACCCAAAAAAAAGCTAAACTGGGCATGGTGGCGCAGGCCTGAAATCCCAGCACTCGGGAGGCTGAGGCAGGAGGATTGTTGCATGTTC